TGCAATGACAGTTTTTGTTATACCAAGATATACTAACCTCTTCATGTGTCATGAATCGATAATTAAAATTTGTGGCGCAACTATTAAAACACTTCTGAGTAAACTGGTTGTACATTGTAAGGTAATCACGCAACTGAAGTGTAAAGGAAACAATGATGACTGATATTATTCCAATACTTTATTACTGCATTATATGAACACTAAAATGGGACTGCCTTTAATCAGTTTCTTTTGTTATTCTAATATTAATAATACACTATCAATCCCATTTTCCTAATTTTTGCTTTACTACTGTAGGCCTATGATATAGACATTTATATAGGGCCTACCTAAGGCTAAGCAGTCAAAGTTATTAAAGCACAAATGTCACACACGAGGTGAGGACAACTGACAAGATATAGTATATCTTGTCAGTTGTCCTCACCTCGTGTTTGACATTTGTGCTTTAATAAATTTGACTGCTTAGGTAGGCCCTATATAAATGTCTACATTGAACAACAACCCAAAAGCTTTATTTAATAATGCTGATATATTATTAATACCGTGCAATGTAGGCCTAGTGCCTGAAAATAACCTAAAAATTCAGTAGAATTAGGCTAGGGGCCATAGGGCCCTAGGCCTAAATTTGGCCGGGAAATCAATGGCTAGGCCTAGGAGGTCCTAGAGGCCTATGAGGTCCTAAAGGCCTAGGCTAGGCCCTAGCTGGGCCTAGCTAGGCCTAGACCTAGGCCTAGTTAGAAATATAAATAAAAATAAAATTAACGGCCGCTATATATGACATATATGCCTAGATGATCGTTTAATTTATTTTTTGTAAAAGTCTATTCACAAAATTAATAAAAAAAAAATTCGAATACGTACATTTCTGGTAGCCTGTGATTCATCCATAATTTGTGTTCATTTATTTAACTGGTAGAGTACGTTTTCACACTATATTAATAACAACACATTACTACACGTGACTACACAGGTCGATATTGTCGTCTGCTCTCGGTTTTTACTTCCGTGTCAGAGTTGAACACCCGGATGTTGAGAATTGACCCTTGAACGTACAGTGTGTACTCGAGTGAGTGGCTGAATCGTGGACTATCCTAGTTTAGTAAGAGAATTGTTTTCCTTTTTTCTCTTCAATATTCCTCAATATTAGTTATATTGTACCAGCTGTGTACATGTATGCCAGTTTACTATTAGTCGCACTTGGTTATGTGAATAAAGTGAACGATTGTTGCTTTTTAATGCAATTATTTGGGAATAGTGCCTAGCTTAGGCTAGCTTTTAGTTAGGCGCCGCCTAGCCTACCTAGACTAGGTTAGGCTAGCCTTATGGTCCCGTCTACCCTCGATTACCTTGAACACATGCTGATAGGCTAGGCCATGCCATGGTTGACCTCCCTAGGGTCACCCTCTTGGTCAGGCTGCATTTATTTGATTTATTTCCTGTACTCTCTGCAGTAGTTATGCCTAGCTAGGCCTAAGTCTTAGGCTAAGAGTAAGCTAGCTCAAGTATCAAGTAATGTTGGTGGTGGCTGTGCAGTGGAAGCGAAAAGGATACGCCTTTTTCACGCTGCGGTAGACATCTTCGGTCGATGACAAACAATGCTCAGCAGCGAAGCCTAACCAACAGAAGTAACATAGCGTTTGGGCCATATTTTCGGAGGTCATGTTACCCAAAAAATCATATATCCTTAACAACGGAGGGTCGTGTAAAACATATTTTTTTCTTTAAAATGTTCGCAAATGATATATCTACGTCCTGTATGAATAAAAAAAGTTGAAAATTTGTTTATTGTGTCAAAACTTAACTGGAAAATAAAAGACCGATTTTGTATAAAACTGTGTTAATTCACTACATTACTGTACATTGGTTGTAGCATGGAGTTGCTTAGACTTGCCACAAGTCTCTTATTTGTTATTATTTTTCTCATTCTGGAC